CAAGAATTTGCCCTGCTTACTGCTTCCAAAAAGTGCGAGTGAGCAGAAGATCGTTGTGACCAGGACCTGGTGATTCAAAGAAACAAGCTCCAGAGCCATCCGCAGGTGCACGGAACATGTTGCGCCCAACTCGCGTCAACTGCATGGACTGCCAAGAAAACCATGGAATCAGTTCCTCAACCTTTTCCCCCTGTAAAATCAGGGAGGAACTCCCACCAACGTCGCCGTTCGTTTAGAACGCTCGGTGCGTGCGAAAAAAAAAGGTGTCACTCCTGGGTGGCGCTGCCCGGTGGAAGCGCCCAAGGTCCAGTTGGACTCTTCAAGGTTTGCAATAAACCCTGTAGGGGCTGGAGTGCCAAATAGACAAAAACACCAATTATCTTGTCTAGCCGTCCGGGACATGGCCTTGAATGGGGTCGGCCCCCATCGGTTATGCAGCTTTCATGCACGTTTCCTATCCCACGTCCATCCTGTTTTCGTCGGAATGGATTCCATAATTCATTACAAGTCACTGAGAGCGTCCTAATCTCACTTGGTCGTCTATCGCGCTGGATGGCGAGAAATCATCAGAAACCACCCTGCACGTCAACCTGAAATGAGCGGCTTGTGCCCTCTGAAACCATCTAAAAACCACACATCGATCGCATTCACTTAGTTTTCCCCCTCTGCACCGGCCAGCCTGCACAAAAGTGCCACTCATGCAGTTCATGAAGGCGAACACGCTCAGCACTACAAAAAGCATCTTCCTCAGAGCCGACGGGACATGCAGACGGGCGCAGCGCTCAGCACTACGTCGTTGCTCTGTGGTGCTGTGATGTTTGTGATGTTTGTGATACGTCAAAGCTCGTTCAATCCCTAGGGCTCCAACTACCTCCTGAGAAGATGGTTGGGGTGGGTGCCATGGGGGTCTAACCACCTTCTGAGGATATGGTTGGAGCCCTAGGGAATTATACCTCCTACCTGTGAGGGAGGTCATCTATCCGGATCTACCCCCCTACCCTGGATTATGCTTGGGGGGGCCTTGGGCCCATTTCCTAAGGATGCAGGTATGTTAAATTGGGTTGGAAGGTTGCCAAGTGGTTGACCTAGTTCGGTGGAAAGGACGCAGGGGGGCACGTGGAGCCCGTTCGCCAGCCAGTTGCGGAGAACATGATACATACCCTGGAAGTGGATGGACTGAACTACACGGCCTGGAACTAACATGGAAGTGGATGGCATGGCCGAAAAAAATCAATGTTCCTTATATGCATTTTCCTGTACAAAGAGAGAGTTTTCATTCCACTTCCATGTTAGTTCCAGGCAGTGGGAGCAAGGGTATCTCTCTCTCACTCTCTCTCTATATATATATACATATATATTGACTCACCATGCGTTTACTCGACATCGCCCACAGTCACCCCAAACGAAGACGGTTGTTACATGTTTTTACTGTGTGGACCGTCTGTTCTGCGGATACGCTACGGAAAAGGCAAGGCATCTCAAAACACGAACTAGTATATAATATATAACTAGAAGAAGCTCATTTCACCAGGTACCAGCCATCAAAATCATCCAAGAACCACTCTACCGTGCTTCTACCACGAGATTCCCCCAGCGCAAATTTCAGTTCGGAGTTCGGTTCTACCATGAGACGACTGCCCCAAGCCTCTCCGGCCGTCCCAGCGTCACTTCCTTTGGCACCGGCCGCATCGGCGGCACCGACTCCTTCTCCTTCTCGGCCATGGGCGGTGCCCCGGGCCCGTCCGCGCCCGAAAAAGCAACGACCGGTCCGGGCTGGCACGCAGGCGGTTGTTCAGCAAAAGAGGCTGGCAGCGTGCGGGCATGTCTGTGTCTCTGTGATGCAGGAAGGGACCTATCACACATCTTTCACCTATCTGGATGGAAGGGACCATGTCAAGAGTAGATCTGATGCAATCCAAACACGCAGGGACCAAGGCATCAATCCCGTCCACCTTGACATACACACGAACCTGACAGAGTACATGCTATGTATCTGTCAAGTATAGTCAAAGGAAACGTACACTGTTTTGGCCAAGATTCCGGGGTGTCCCAAGCTTCGGGTTATGCGTGTACTATAAATATACTCTAATATATATATGTATAAAACCGATCATTGTGCAATTTCGGACCTAGTCGCAAGTTTTGCAGGACATCCTTCCGGACCACCTCATTCAAACCTTCCGTGCGATCATCAGCTGCAAGAGATGGCAATGGGTGGCTTGTCTCTCCTTGTACAATTGCAAGATCTCCTCATCACCTCAGGCTTTGGAGGGCACAAGAAATCAGGTCCAATGCTATACTCCTTACTACAGCAGAAAGCCTCCACACAAGGTTTCAGAACTTCAGAAGTTGACATTGTCTTTTGAGCTAACCGTTCCCGCCACAAGAAAAGCTAACAAACATCATGGTCCTCATGTTTCCTGGTCGTTGCTCTCTTATCGTTGAGGCGTCCAAACCTACCACCCTGTGGAAGGCGATGCTCTCGAGGCACCGATGCGTGGCATGTCAATCCGCGAGATGCCAAAGATGTTGGGCCACCGGGAGAAGCTGCCGAAGGGGGGGCGGGCCGTGGTGGAACTCAGGCCCTTGGACCGAAGGAGCGGTAGGGCGGAACAGTGGTGCTTGTGCTTGTGAGAGGGTAGGGTAGGGTGTCCATGGGTGTCCACTCATGACCACTCACTTGTGTGGGTGAGTAGGAAGAGGGAACATGTTTCTCACCAAAGACTCTCAGTTGTGTTCCGATGGAGCCTATTGCAAACAATCTTCAACTCATAACTCTTTAGATTTTATTACTCATAACTTACTTACTCATGACTCATGACTCATAACTCGTTTTCATATTCTTCTTGATCTTCATAACTCTTTAGCCCAAGTCCGGAGCATGATCCAAATGGCTTGCACCACCAATCCCTGCGGCACCAGGAAAATGAGGGGGATGAGATTCAAACGGTAGGACCTCCCAAAAGCACCCCAACCTGAGTTCCAAAAAAGAGTTCCACCTCGACTCGGCCCAGTTTAAGGACGCGGCACCCCGGCGGGTCTGGCTGGGGGGGGTGAACCCCGATCCGAGGGGCCAAAGCAAAAGGCGGCTTTGCCCTTCACGGACATGGCTGGATAGAGGGCAACTCCCAAAGGGATGTCCTGCCCGCGAAGCGGACGGACGAGCTGAAGGGATCGATCTGTGTGAGCTGAAGGTAGCTGAAGGGATCGATCACTGAATGAGCTGACAGTCTTTCCGCCTGCTCCAAGAATCATAGAAACTGACCAACCAATCTCCAAGGCATTCATCTCCTGGCCTTACTATTAGGAGCAAGGACGCTACTAGGGGCTCCTGGCCTTACTAATATGAAGTAATATGTCCAAAGCACTTCTGACACCATCTCTTGCCCCTTTCTGCCAGGCAAGAACCATGGTGGGACGAAGCAAAACAAACTGGTCCATCCCACTCCTCCTCCGTGAAGGCAGCTTGTGCCTGCCGTGAAGGCAGGCTGTGCAGGGCATGCGGAGCTATGCGGTGGGGAGGACAAGCAAGGGACGCTACCCCAGCACCAAGAGCTACCACTCACATGCACCATGGTCTTGTGGTATCTGGGTATCAACACCTGATGATCTCCGAGCTTAGCAAGAACCACCACACGACCTGGTGAGTTTCACCACACGATCGGTACACTCGTTACTCTGAAGCCCCAAGGATCCACAAGTAGCTCTGAGAGTGTGAGAGTGGAGATGACGGGAGACATTTTCATGTGGGCGCCAAGAGGCTTCAGGTACCTTGTGAGAAGGTATGACCTAAGTCCTAGTAGGGGGACCGGATACAATGGAGGCGTTCACCTCCGAGAAAACACCGGGCCTCTCTTGTGGCAAACCACACTCTTCCATCCTCCCCCGCCATCGTCTCAATTTAAATCACTCCGCAGCTCATCACTTTTCACCGGCACACTCCGACTCACGAACATGGAAGTGGAAAACACCCTGTTCGTAAAGGAAAGTAGTTCAAAGTGGTCTTCCACCATGCCATCCACGGGACCGATGTGTTCCCACTTCGTGTTGCGTAACGTGTGCTGTGGATGCTGGGGTTGGTGACTGTCACCCTACGGCTCCGGCTCCGACCGGACGACCCGCCTCCCATTGCCCGTCGCTGGCGAAGAAGATCTGCCGACGGCCCAGGTCCACGGCCACGCTCACCGAGACCTGAGCCGGTGGAGAGCCGTGTGAAACCTGCGGTGGGCGGGTTTCCAGATTCCAAGGTCAGTGGTGGAATTAAGGTGGAAGAAGGGGCCAACAAGAAGGCCCCGAGCGATGAACTTGTTTTCTTGGCGTGCCAAGGCCAAAGAAAAGGTTGACGACCATCTTGGTGCAGTGGTCTTGACATGTCTTTGAAACCATCTTGGGGTTTCACGACGCAAAGCGTCACGCTTTGCGTCCAGGCCTCTCCGGCCTATCTCAATGGGGTCCGACCCAGACCGTCCCACGCCGACCGGTCCCCGCCCCACCTGGCTGCTCAAGGTCCGAGCTCCTGTGACTGGTGCCGCGGGACCAGTCCGGATGGGCAAGGATTCAGAGGGTGTCGGATGGGCCAAAAAGAGTCCTTAGTTAGAAATGGAGAGTCTGGTCCAGGTCGGATGAGCCACGCATTTACACTGATATTAGGGCACCTAGGTATGGTTGTGCGCGCAGGAACTACTGCAGTCTCTGCTTCGCACTGTCCTTGTGCCCCTTTGGCTGGCCACACTTGACTCCAGCTGCGGTTGCCTCAGCAATACTTTCATTCAATGCGAGGGTCGGACAGGCAGGCCACTACCCCAATCCTGCAGTTAAGGGGATAGGGTGTGGACGGTACAAACCACAACAAGACCACTCTCGGCTCTTCCAAGCACTGCAGCTGCCATTCAATGCTCACATCAGATTCTGTGAACATGTCCATACTCCATACAGCCTCTTGAAAGGTATTGGTCATGTAAGCTGTATACCTAGAACTAAACAATGAAGAAACGCCTCATTTAGACTGCAGCCTTTGAGCAAGCCATTCGTTGATTGGAAACCAACTCCTTAAAGACAAATCCTTCTCCAACCAGTCCGGGCTGGCGCGGCTCCAGCCAGTCCCTCTGGTCGATGGCCAGGCCGCTGCCACCATGCCAGCGGGAGGCGCTCAAGCCGTCTGCCGCCCAGCCATGCTGGTCGTCCCCCACGCCTGCCGTGCGACGCACGAGCATGCTGATTGGATATGCGGAGTGGGAATCAGAAAAAAAACACATCATGGACATGAACATCCCAAAACCGCTTGGTTTGTACGGTTTTCAACCGCCGGTATTCTCAGGGTCCTGGACTGAGGAGATATATTGCGGATTGTCGCACCTTGGTCCTTTGTCTCTAAAAGGTGAATATAAACCCTATAGGGCTTCAAGCACCTTCTGAGAAGGTGTTTGGGGCGGGTTTGGAGGGTCCAAATACCTTCTGAGAAGGCACATGGAGCCCTAGGGAAAAATAGAGATCGACAAAGGTCTTCTATCTGAACCTACTTGATGGATTCAAAGTCTGATTAAGGCAAGATTCAACTAATAGAACTTTAGATCTGACTTGTGCATACCTATATCACAATATCAAGTCAAACTTCAAAGAATAGTGATACCGGTGCCAAACATTGCGCAGCCGCTTTCACAAGCTGTTGCTCTGGTATGTGTGGAAGATTGTTAGGCAGTTGGCTGGATGCGCCCAGAGCTCAAACAGCCTTCATCTTCAAACAACATGGACCAGCGAAACCAATTAACGCGCCGGACTCGCCAGCATGTGAGCCCTCCCGCGCCCCCCGACTGGGCCTTGGCTGCTCTTGGTGCCCGGTAGTCTCTGAAACTGGCTGCTTAGAAGGCCCACTTGAGGCGCTGCACAGTCCTGCCGTGCGTGACGTACTGCGTTACCGTCCGTTTCACTCGTCTCGTCGCAGCCTTCCAAGCCTTCCAAGACCGATCATAAAAACATGTTGAGCTGGTTTTGTAGGCAAGATCCTGCCTTAGTACAACAATGGTTGCCTGGTGAAAACCCACAAAGTACATGGTGCTTTGAATCCCAGGGTGTCAGTCCCTCTTGCAATACCCCCAACAAAACTCCACCAGCGGACTTCGGAGGAAATCATACGGAAATGCACCGTTCCTTCTTCTACATGCAATGCAAATGTATGCAAACCCTGGACCAAACCACCTTTTTCATCCTTTTTCCGCCGCAGCTCTACATCCTCTCACCCCTGCGCCTCATGCAAATGGACCTCAAAGAACCACTGGCCACTGTCTTGTGCTAAGTGGGGGAAGCCGATGGTGATCCAATCTTTCCTCAGCACGGCACCCCAGCTCCAGTCTTCCTACCAAACGCCGTGCCCAAACGGGTGCGCAAAAAGGTCACCTCTCACAAGAACAAGTGACTCAACAATCAAGACCCTTTGAGAAACAAAGAACGACTGTGTGAACAGAACATGATCTGGACAGATCTGGGCCCCAAAACCCAATGATAGGACCCAAGTGTACAAACATGATGTATACCCATATATATATATATATACTCATTCCATACACCATGGTGATCTCTTGAGGCCATCTCACCTCAACATCTCTCAAGCACCGAGTCGGTCCACTGAATACCACTGACACGTGAACACCGTCTCACACGGCAGTTCGCGGTCGAACACCGTCGTCACTTCTCCGTCCAAGCCCAGCGAGAGTCAGGTGTGTTGGATGGAAGGGGTGAGGCCAGCACATCACAATACCTAGGACTAGGTCCTAGGTCTTCCTGATGGTGTCAGACCTAGAGACCTACAGAAAGGGTCGTCCACTGGCGACCCAGTGTATAGGAAGCATCAACATGTGTACCCCAATGAGTGTGAAGGTGCGTTGGAGGCTCGCAGGCAATGCAAAAAGTAAAGAACATGCGGCAAATGCCGCTGGTGGCCATGTACGGTACTCGTCGACAAACAGCTGGAGACTGTTCCAACACATCTTTAAGCATGGAATTTACTTGGTTGATCTGATTCTATACCTACTACCAGGACTATCCAACGGATGTCCACTGGACCGTCCTACACTGCATGGGGAATTGCACTGGACACGCGGGCCGTGGTGGTCCAAGCACTTATAGGGCGACACGTCCAAAACTCCAACCTACTCCAACCCCGTTGTGACAAACCCATCCTGCCCAAAGCCAATGTAGACGCTTGATGATCTTTCAAGACCCCATAGGAAGAGGTTTTATCATCAAGAGTCTACCAGTACCGTCCAGGTACTTCTAGCCTCCAAGCTGCAAGGGGTCCGCGGTGGTGCCCCGCAAGAGCTCCGGACTTGAAGGTGCCATGGTGTCGGAGGGCGCGGTCGCGTTCATGGCCACCTCCACCAGTCCCTGCCAGTCAGCAGCTGAATCAGGCGGGCAGTGGAGGTGGTGTATCTTGGATTCCCAGGTCTGGGGATTCACCCCTAGGCACCATAAACATCGCCCTGAGTAAAACCAAAGCTATTTCCACAGCATTTCATGGTCCTCCTTTCGGGGCCACCCCACTTCCATGATTTGTTCAAGGAGGGTATAGTGGATTGAGAGTAGATGGAACAATCCCCAAGCTAGGAGGTTTAATCTATATGTACCCTATGTAACAAAAAGTTGTGGGGCCCAAACAGCAATGTAGAATCTTGATTTATCACAGCATTTGGATTGTAAAACCTCTTCAGGGGGGGGTGGTTTCAGCCCTATTTAGCCCTTCCCCTGTGTACCACTAGGTCTCTCAACCTCTCTTGCACATGTAACTGGGGACTCTCTCTGGTGTGTTTTTGTGTTCTCCGGCTCCTTGAGCTCGCGCTCGTTGTACTCCTTGAGCCTCGTTCGGAGTACCATGGGTGAAGTCGTGATTCGGGCGGCGGCGATTCGGCGACAAAACAGAAAGCGACACAGTCGCGCTTCCGCGGTCCGAGGCTACGACCATACATACCAAATGATCCCACCATGCATTGAAAGTGCAATGCAAGGAGGCAAGCAATCCTCCAAAAACAAGAACTATTCATGGATTGTTTTGATGGACCTCAAGCGAACCTTTACATGAGTTCAGGCGATTGTTTGCCGTTCTTGATGATCCCCCGGTCAAGGCTGACGTGGAAAGCTACAAAGTCCTGCTAAGGGATCTTCCAGCAAGCTGCCACTTCCCGTTGCTTGAAGGAGCCCAGCGTGTCGCGGTGTCCACTTCCAAGTGTAGACAGACCGTCGTGTTAATCGCGCGCGCTGTCTCGTTTCTAGCGCGTCAGACCTCTGACCGCTCTCTGAATCCACCGTCTATCCGTGTGGCGCGTGGCACGTGTCTTCTTCGCCAACGCCAAGAAGCACGTGTGCATACTTGTCCAACACGCCCAAGCGATTGTGCCGCATGCCTCGGTCTCGGTGTGTTTGGCTCGGTGGTAGCCTGGGGGGGGCGGTTTCTTCAGAAAAAGGGTGCGGTTTGAAGAGGAGCCAATGTGTGGTTTTCATTTTGGAGGCTGTGTAGTTGGAGTCCTTGGGGAGATTGCGGAGGTCCCTAGCTGCATTCGATGGAAAAACCTGGACCAGGAGAGAAAATAAAGTAGCTAAAGTAGTAAGAGTATGCGACGGCCCGAGCCTGGACAGCTAAAGGCTCGACTCAACCGCTGGTCATTTGCATTTGGTCCCCAAGTGGGTTCAAAGAAAGCAGTGGATCTGCTGTGCGCATACGATTGCATACGATCAGCCACAAGGAGTCGCTGAAACACCCAAACACTCACACAACTTGGCTGCTTGACCCGGACCTTTTGGCATTGGAAGTCTTTGACGCACTCCTTGACTATAGAACCCCTAGAAGTCGAACCACCATTTATTCAATAGCCTTCACCAAACAAACCATTGTTTTACTAAGGGTATCTAAGGGTTTTACACTTCAAAACCAGATGAACCATATCGAAAAAAATGGCCTTTGACTTCCAGGGTCTATACTAAAGTTACTAACTTCGGTCCATGGCTCCGGCCGTGAGGGTCTGGTCCAACAACCTCCCTTTAAAGCCGATCGACATCAATCAACCTGCCCCAAACACATCAAGACTCCCACGACGACGTCGCCAGTTTACGAAAGAAAAAACACGCATGCAGCTTGCACGTATAAGACCCTATATAACATATATCGCGCGCGATTCGTGGATGTGAACATGGCGCTCGGAAAGGAAAAAGTTACAAACTTTCAGCACCAAGCACTGGGCTTTGCCTTCAAAAGGTAGTGATTCAGAGTGTAGGACTCAAAAATGTGCCCTTGGAGTCCATAGCAGCTGAGTGCAGTCCTCACCCACCTCACCCACCTAAGTCCTCACAGCGTTCCATCGCTGGCCTCCAGAATCAGTGGAGCACATGGTGCAGCGCAAGCGCACATCCTTGAGCACGAGGTAGGAATCGCCGTACTGCCGAGCTTTCACCACACCTGGTTGGGCCAACATTGGCAAGATCCTGGAGGTCGGAAAGAGGTATACACCTTCCTAAAGGGCAGTGATAGGCCCCTCTAAATCAATTATATCCTTAGATTATAGTTATATGACGTGTGTGTGTGTACCACCTACCTACGAATCCGACAAAACCACCATGTTCCACCGGTGGCATGGGGAAACTAGTAACTAGACCATGGAGACAATCAAGTTCCTATGGTTGAACCCTGCGCAACATCGAGTGGATGTTCTTCGCTTTAGCCGAGTGGCACAGTGTTTTTTTGCCTCGGCTGTCCCTAACAGGCGGGTCTAAATGGATTTGTGCTCGAGGCATTGTGATCAACCAAACAATCACCCGAAGCAAAGGATCATGAATAATCACGATATAGTGGCCCCAAACAGATAGAAATGGTGTCCAATACATTCTTAATTAGTAGGGATATACTTTATATGCTACACTTTTTTCTATATCCCAATTGAAATCAGCAAAACATAGCGACATAGACATAGCAAAACCAGGGAAAAAAGCTCGTCCCCATCTTGAAGTCCTCTGATTTCCATCCACTGATCACCAAGTCGTCGGGTCAGCTTCCCCGGCCTCGATAGTCGTTCATGACATTCCTCGGCTCAGCTCTCGGCTCGGTGGCCGACCACCGTGTGAGCAGTTGAGATGTGCAAGATGTATGATTAAGCCCCTAACAGGACCCCCAGTTAACCCCGAAAAACGGCTTTTCGGGGCTATAAATAGACACCCCTCAACGGAGGGTCCTGGTATGTCAATGTCAACTTTCTTACGCTCCTGCTTACGCTTCAGTTGGGAAGGTCCGAGATGTTGGTATGTCATGGTCCGGAAGAATTGCCGGTCCGTTCCCCTGAATCTTCGCTAGGCCTCAGGAGCAAGGGCTGTCTAGGCCTGTTTGTGGTGTGAATAGCAACGCCACCAGCCGTTCTCCAAAAAACATCTATAACTACAATTGAATTTGGCCACATACCAACACGAGCACCATACATTTTCTCAAATCCACTTCATTGCTTCAAAAATATGGTTCCTGTTGCATTGGCTATATTTTCTCACACTAAATCTGAGTGACTCATGTTTGCCACAAATTCTCCTACCAAACTAACTCCTTTGCCTTGCTCTCCTCATCAAAAAGACTCAACTGGGTGGTAGGATTACTTGTCCCTTACTTGTGCCAGTGAAACTGCCCAAATCACTTCAAAACATACCCAGGCACTCCATGGGACTGCCATATATGCTGATCAATTGGGGTGGTTATTTTGGGGGTGAATGGGGCGGCAGCCCTATGGCAGTCCCAGACGGGTCGTGTCTGGGAAGATCGAACTGCTCAGACCGCGTCACCCCGCTCCACCCGCGCCACCCTGTCACGCGTTGACCCGGTCACGGTGAAGCGTTCCTGGTCACGCACGGTCGAGGCACAGTGCGCCGTACTTCACTCGGTCAAAGCCCTTGGCGTCCTCGTAGGCGTGGTCGAAGAGCTCTCGCTCCCATCCCCTGAGCGGAGACGTCGAGGTGGGAAGAGACAGGGTAGGGAGGTGGAAGGAGGATTCCCCCCAGATATATAATTGTTATATTTGTGTATATGTTTGTTTATTTTCGATGGATGCTTTATAAATTGTAAATCTAATGATCGTATTCATAAACTCGGCTTGCCTGTTCAACTGCTTCGTAAGTGTTAGACTAGCTAGATAATTAAGGGGCATCTATTCACCAGCCCTTGTGGGATATCGGGGATTGCCCTTTTTAACCAGGATGAACAACTTGGGTCAAGAGGTTGATGCCTGAGCTGCTCTTTCGTTGGAAGGATATTGCGCAATGCCAACCTGCACCGCCTTCCTCCCCTGTGACTAATTATATATATATATAATAAATTTGGAAAACGTTTGTTTGCCTTGAATGTGATGTCAGCATATCGCAACGTGTTTCTTCCACAATCATTTGAGAAGTGTGATTCGGCATGCCTTCATGTTCTTCCCTTGGTTAATAGCAATGGTCACACCAACAGTTGGTGTCCATGTTAGTCTTGCACAACAATGTGCCACACACCCCGTGAGATCGTACAAAAGCAACGAACTGTAATAGGACTGCGACGGTCCACGTTCGGTCTGATCACAGGGCCTTTGGCCTTTGTGTCTGCTTAAAAACCCTCAGGATCCACTGCCAGGGAGACACTGTCCATGTCGGTGACAGGAGGTTGAATCTGACCTGGTGAGAACATGGCAGTGGATTTCTATGGTCAGGACACCCTGAGGTCCAAATGGTTTGTGCTCTGCAAACGCTTCCATCAGCCCAGGAGCTTTCGAGTGTTGTTCTCCTTAGGCCAAAATCACATGCTGCTGCCAAGCATTGTCGAACATATTGTTTTTTGTAATGTTTTGTCAAATGGCATACCTACAAGCATGCCACCTAGAAGACAAAACACATCAGGAAACAACCTGTGCTTGGCAAAACTTTCTTGCTTGGAAACATCTATATACAAATATCTACAGTACCAACACACATCTGGCTCTGGCTGGGAGCTTTGTTCCAGGTCGGATGCTTCACCATGTTGCCACTGCTTCACCATGTTTCACCCAGGTTGGAGTCCGACACAAGACAGAAATATGTGAAGTATCGATGACCAACTGCACACAAAGGATCCCATGGAAGGTCGAGAAGGTCGAAACCCTTGGTTTCGACCATGTTCCGCTACAAGCCCAGTGGTTTTGACCATGTTGATCTGCTAGGTATCTATCAGCTATTGTCTCTTAGCTGGCAGGGATGCAATGAATGGCACCACTGAAGAGTTGTTTTCGTGAAGATGAATCAACCTTGCAACCAAGAAGCTTAATCAGTTTTGAGGATTGATTATCCTTTACGACTCTTCAGGACAAAATTGAACAACAAAAATAACTTAATTAATATTAATTAAACAAACTGCAGCAACTCAATGTCTCAGCTTCAGTATGGATTCCCTTAGAGTCAAAGTTTAGGATACCTGAAGGTGACCTTCCTTTCCCTCACTTGAGTAGGAAAAGGGGACCACAAAGGAGAGTTAGCTGAAAGACCTCGAGAGACTATTTCGGAGCGACACTGTCTTTCAACTGCATCCAAACTGTGCCACATGGAAATTGATAGGAAACGTGTCGACCTTTTTGCATCCATGAATCATTCATCTCTCACCCCTTGAAGAAGTCCACTCATGAAAAAAAAACAGGTCAAAATGAGATATATAGGACTTGTTGTTGCCCAACAAAACAAGAAGTCCAGCATTTTCTACAAATCCCATGCATCTGGACGTAGTATATGGATGCATGTATCTTCAGCTCCGTCCACATCTTCGCTTCGTCCCGGGCTCCGGATCCAACGCTCCGTTGGAGGTCTTGGTCTCGAACTGGTTCCGGTAGAACCTGGGACGTCCAGCGGGCTGTTTAGGACGGTTTAGGACGAGCTGACTGTGGGTAGCGCTGGTGGGTTGAGATGGTACGTCTGGGCCCCCAAGATTCATGGAGTAGTGGACCCCTTCTTCTCAAAGACATCTTGGGGGAAACGTGCCATCTACTCTCAATCCACGGTTTTTTTGAAAAGACGGCGAAGCACAAATACATCGGATCTTCCAAACGAATTCCCAGCAGGGAGCAAAGGGGTGTTCCACGTGGTGTGTGTGGCAAAGTTCTTCTGCTTCGCCCACGTGCACACGCAAAACTCACCGGATAACGAAAAAGAAACCCTGGCCTGGTGGTGTCCAACAGAATGTATGTGACACCACAGGCGTAGAATCAATCCCACTGGTGACTCAAATGTTCTTCAGTCTTGTAAAACAACATAATGATGTATGATGATAATTCCTCCTATCACCTATCATAGATCTAAATCACCAAGTCAGCCGGGTTCTGTCTCAAAACACCCGGCAGCAAAGCTCTGGATGCCATGCCACCGCTCCATGCCATGGCAGCCCCGCCGGCCCGGGGGGTGCTGTTGCACATCCGAAGCATCAGTTGATTCCATCAGCTGAAGTCATTTCGCTTCCACGCCGAACATCGCCCCAGCTATTTTTGGGGTGTGAGGCCCAGCTGTTGGGTGAGAGATGGTGAGAGGCCCACCTGTTGGGGTGTGAGCTGTTCGTGTCTGGTGGATGTGAATCACATGCTATGCGTTCTGAAGGTCCTTAACCCAAAAATGTCTGGGTGAGTCTGGATGTTTTTCCTGCCTCGGGGTGGTTTCAGGTGTCAATGTAGGCATCTATTCCGTCCCATGGAGTGTTTGGGTCCGAACCCATCGCTCTTCCTCCTCTTCCCTCGTCTGCATCGGGCAGCTCATCGCTCTCCATGAAGTGCCCCATGCGGTCCAAATTCACGTGGATACACACCGGTGCCATATCCTGTCTCGTGAACACGCGTTAATGCAACGCGTTGCAGTGGGCGCACAAGTGGGCGCGCGCCCGTTGGCGCTCTCCCAGTCGGTTGGATGTGGAGAAGCAGTTGGATGAGGGCCGCGAAGCGACCGGCAGTGAATGAGGGTTCCTTTCTTGGTCTTTCATCTCACATGAAAACGCTCTGACGAACACATACAATGGCAATGGATGGCATGCAATGGCAATGGATGGCATGGTCCATTGGAAGAGTGCTTTCCCTTACAAGCGGAAGTTTTCCACTTCCATGTCAGTGAGTCACAGGGCCAAAGGGTACATGGTACGGTACACATGCAAATCTACAAACAGTTACCTGGGCATGGCAGAATGCACATCCTAAACCATGTGGGCCTAACCATGGCCTCTCCAACAAATAGGACACACACACACACACACACGATGACAAAGCCATGTGTCACCTCCACCGCACCCAGGGGAAGCTTCACAAGAAAACCACCCAACCGCCAAACATCCGTCCCATGCTGCGGCACTGGTGTCCCACGTGCCTGGATCCAGCCGAGG